GGCCTGGCAGGCGCGCGGCGGCGCCTGGGCCGCGCGCGGCGCCGCGCCCGGCGCCGCAGCCAGCGCGCCGCAGCTTGCACACCCGGGCGGCCCGGGGTCCGGCAGCGGCGCCACGGCGGGCAGCAGCGGCGCCAGCACCGTGCTGCTGGGCGGCTCCGGCGCCTATGCCTCGGGCTCCTCCGACGCGACGCGCCTGGGTCCCGGCCCCGGCCTCGGCGTGGCCACCTTTGACCGGCCCGACGGCACGCCCTCCGTGCTCAGCATGGGGTCGGTGCTGCAGCGCCAGCGTCGGGAGGCGCGCGCCGCCGCGCTGCGCCGCTACCGCGAGAAGCGCGAGGGCCTGAGCTTCCGCAAGACCATCCGCTACGCCGCGCGCAAGGTGCTGGCCGACAGCCGTCCGCGCGTGAAGGGGCAGTTCGTGCGCTCCTCCGCGGCACCCACGGCCGCAGCCAGCCATGAGGGCGAGGCCACCCTCACCACGGCCTCCGCGACGGGCGGCGGCGAGGCCGCCGCGCAGAGCGCGGCGGCGCACCCGGCCCGAGGGCAGTGAGACGTGGTGATCGTCGGGGATGAGCCTGGACGGAGGGCGAGGCCATGATACGGCCGCGTCTGGAAATGTCAACCGGCTCGCCACCCGTACCTCCTGGCTGGATGCCTGCCCCCCTCCTGCAGCCTTGTCGGCCGCTGCGTCACTCGTTGACGCGCGCCGGATCAACCTACCCCGCACCCCAAAGCCCCTGGAAGCACTTTGCGCCACGGCGACGTCTGCCCCCCCTCCCCTTCCCCCCTCCCTCCCCTGCCCCCCTTGACGCCTTCGGCCCTGACTTGCCTGCACATCGTTGTTCTTATACTCCTCTTGCATTCTTTCCCTCCCCTCGAGACCCTGGCCGCCCCGCCGCCAGTGCGACGCATCCCGTCGCGCGGCGCAAGGGGTATGAGCAGACGACACCACCCTTTTTTGCCCTCTCTCTGCATTCCTTCCCCTTGTAAGGCTTTTGCAATACCTGGCTGACGGTATGGGAGGGGGGTTCCTCAGGACAGCTTGGCCAGCACAGACTTGGCCTGCACGAAGCTGATCGAGCCGCCGGGGATCTCCACCTCGCTAGATCCGTACTTGCTGAACAGCACTGTGTCGCCGCTCTCCAGGCCCAGCTCCGCCTCCTCCCCCACCGCGACCACCGTGCCCACCAGGGCGTCCATGCCACCCTGGCGGGCGGACTCAGGCAGGAGTACCCCCCCCGCCGTCCTCTGCGTGTGTGTGTGTGTGTTTTGGGAGGGTCAGATGGGTCATTCCGCCTGGGCGACCTCCGCGCAGATCCACCGACGCCCCTCCTCAGCCACAGTCCCAGGCACCACATCCAGCACACATCCACCTGGTCGTTCTCCTTGGGGCGGATGAGGACCCGGTCCCCAAGGGGGGCCATCTGCACGAGCGATCCGTGGTGGGTAGGTGGGAGACGGGGAGGGCAAACGCCTGGCAACATGGAAAACATGTGCAGCAGGAGGATAGACTACAGTCCACCAAGCTCGCAACCCCCGCCAGAAAATTCGGTGCACAGCGCCCCAAAGCGTCGGTACCTTTGTGACGTCGAGGTCGGCGGCCTCGGCGGTGAGCACGGCGTGCATGCGGGTGGAGGGGCGGCCAGCATGGAGCACCCGGCCTGTGGTGAGTGAGGCAATGTCAGCAAGATGGAAGGCTGGACATATCCCGACCACGGAGGCACATGAAGATGGTAACAAGCAGAAAAAAAACAAGAATGAGGTTCACACATACCGCGAGGTGCGAAGGTAGATGAGGAAGAGGCGGGTCGAGCTGGTGCCCGTAGCACGACCGGTGAGCACATCACCGACGCCATCCTGTCGGGGCGACTTTCGTTCAATCAGGTATATGAGAAATGGTCTATTTATTCAACAGGACGACTGTTTCTGCTCTGCGAGGCTCCGAGATCCGGGGCATGGAGCTTATGCGGCAGAAGATCAGGCAATTCTTCTGGAAATGGGCGCAACTCGCTGCCTTGGGAGACGGCCTTGCGGTGAGGAGACCTGCGTCCCTGGCCTTCTCTAATAAGAGCCTTGTACGTTCAAGTACCTTTTCTCGAGACACTCAACATCTAGATTTTCAATCAGCTACATGCTGCTGTGCACCAACAGGGGACCCTTGCTCACAAACATCGGGTGGCAAATTACCATCACTGGGGAGAAAAGAGAAGAGGTCAACAACAGATAACGGGCAGCTATGGCCGAACACTCTGCACCTTGTACAGCCTGTACGCAGCCCACAGGAGCGTGAAATTCCCCAGAAGGGTGAGGAGCGCCTGCACACATTTGAGAGCCCACAGGTGAGCCTGCAAGGCAATCACGGCAGGGGTCCACTCCGACTCAGCGCATGCACTGCCCAGCAACTGCAGCCTCCCCGTGGTCGCACCTGTAGCTCCACGAGCCACTCAAGGGCAGGCGCGTTGTAGAACAGGTGCCTGCGTCGCGAGTGGGGTTGAGCGAGGTCTGGTCAGCAGAGGGCAGCACCCCCGACCCAGCACTGCCAGGGCGACGGGCAAGGACACCAGCCCCCTCACCAGGTGACGGCACACATGGCGCTGCCAAGGCTGGGCACCATCCCCCAGCTCAGGCCCGTCCAGGCAGGGTTCTTGGTGACATCGGCCATGCGCCTGATGAGGGTCATGGCCACGGCCCATTCGGCGACAGATGACACGTGGATGGCCCAGGTGGGCAGGCTGAGCGCATTGCTGGGCTCCTCATGCAGCCAGAGGAGAGCAGGGTACGCTGCCAGGGACTGAGCCAGGTGCAGGGGGAGAGCAGGCAGCCTGTTCGTGCACAACTGTGGCCTGTGCGATGTCTGCAGGCGCGGCCTCATCCAGGCCCCTGGACGGGAGCGAAGAAGAGTGGCGCCGGAAAGGGTTGCCGGGCACTGTGCCGGGCTCCATGATGTGCTGCAACGCTCCATGCTGGGGCATGCACCTGCCATGTGCAGCGATCTACACCAGATGCGCGTCACTCACAGTCTGTTTCGCTTGTAGCTCGGATCGGCCTGCTTGCAAAGACACCGGCATCGGTGAATGTGGTGCTCAGGTGCGGAATCGCTTCGCAGCGCCCGGAACGAACCAAATCGTGCGAGATGACCCAGCAACGACACTGAACTTGCTGCGACGCCATGTTTTCAACCTGCTTGGAGGACAATTCTACTTTACCCATGTCGCATCGCGTAGGCGTGTGACTCAAGCGACCTTTTTGCCCACGGCAGGATAACGAAAGACGCTCGAACTACACTATGCATGTCTGTAAAAGCTTCGCATCAGCCCATTCTGGTTGCCTATAGGGAAATAGTATCCCTCACAATCTTCAGCATAGACATTTTCATCGACTCATGACCCAGGTGCCAGCCTATGGTGCAGTCTCCATGAGTCTGCTCTGCTGGCTACCCAACCCCTCCAGCACCACTGCACCCCTCCCCTTGAGAGCTTGCACTTGTGTGACTCTAAGGGAATCTGATGTTTTCACTCTGCACCTTGTTCCACTGAAACAGCTCTCAACGTGGCTTGATGACCTCGCGAGGTGAGACCATGGTCGGATAGCACGCGGATGTGGCTTTAACACATGGACGGGTGCCTTCTGCAGCTACTCATGGTTTGAACGCCTTTCAGAGTATCTGAACAGCAGCAGCTTCATAATCTGACGTTAGACTGTCTGGAGATATCGACCCCTCCGCGAAGCTGGTGTCGGAGCTGATTGACCGTTGTCTGCACTTCAACCGGGCAGTGCTCACACCCATCGATACCATTGATATTCTGCATGGTGTCAGTATAATTTATCCAATAACAGATTGTGGTTGCCTTCTGTCCACGACGCGTCGGGTGCCATTTTTCTCAGATCTTAGTTTCACGACTTTTTAAAGTTAGGATCCCTGGCTTCGCACAGTCACCTCATTCTAGCGCCCGTGTTAGACAGGGCATCGAGTTTTACCTCCGTATTGACAAAATACAGAAACATATTAGAATGTAATGGTGCATCACACCCTGCAGGGCCCTATGGTGCTAGAGTATACCCGTCTATCGTCGGGGGTCCTGCTTGATCCCGGTGAAGCCGCGCGGCGACGTCCGCGGGCCTGCACTTTCGTCGTGCAGTGATAGTTGCTCGCTCGTGGCGATCTCCGGACACTTCCCTGGGCAAGCCTTGCAAAAGGACCCTCAAAGCCCTCTCGGTGCAATGTCCCCCATGTTGTGAGCGCTTCGCCTCCGTTCAAGCCTTATAAACTAAGCGCTCCGGTGTCGTGGCAGTGCCGGAGTGAGTGCTCAGCCGACTCGCTGATGAGCAGCTTCAAGACTCTGGTGGTGGATGCCCACCCCCACGGCATCGCCAATGAGAAGACGGGTGAGCGTTCAAGTCTGTACTGGTCCGTGTTGTGGCTCCTGAACGGCAGCAACGAGTTGGGGGACAGGTGGCCGCACCGTACCGGCAAAGCTGTCGGACCTGGTACCCACCATCCACTGCAGGGACGTTTTGGACCGCCGTTATGCACATATTCTGCGGCATCGTTGGTGAGTGCGCTGTTTTGGGTCACCTTCTTGGTGGAGCCGGGAAGATCGCAACCCTCCACACCCCTGGCACTGCTCTCACACCTGGACTCCCACCCACCCTCCGGCCCCAGGCGCTGGAGTGCTGGCCCTCCCCCACTCCGTGGCCTGGCTGGGATGGGTCGGGGGCCCCTTCATGATCATCGTCTTCTGGCTCATCTCCTGCCTGACCAGCTGGTGAGGCACCTGGCTGGGTGATCGGGCCGGTGCAAGGGTTCCTCGACGCCGCGCAGCGCAGCGCTCCCTGCCT